CTCTGAGGAAGAATGTAGGTCCACACCGATGGAACTGCGAGTATCGAAAGCAAAAATAACATCTTCATGGCTGTTGACGGATAATGTGTTTGCGTCTTCACTGAAAACTGTGGACTGTTCACTACTGCTTATGCTCTTTTGAAAGCCGTAACCGACGTGACTAAAGGGAGGGTCCCTGAGTTTCCTAGTACGATAACCTAATGAACGATACGCTATCTGTAGACGATTTTAATGAAGGGCAAGTCTCGCTCCTTTTTTGGGGACTGAAAAAAAGAAAATTTACTATTACTTTTCGTCTCTAAGCCAGAAGTTACCGCAATTGGTAAGTATTTGCAAGTATATCAAAGCAGTTTTAAAAGCGTAGACGTTAACCTTCAGCTACCTCCGTGACAGTAATATGCTTCCAAATGAATAATATTGTCTGAATAATGTTAACTACTGCTTTAACAACGTATTGAGTATTGTAATGGTGAACAGTATGGGGGTCTAAATAAATAACTTGATAATCAAGGACCAATACGCTCTGAGTTTCTAAATATTTTACCACTGTTATTTTCTAATATGCAACCTATAAAAGCTAAATAAGGTGGAAATTCTGAATGCGTTGAACTCTTTACATATTTGAGAGTTTAGGATTAATCGTGGTTCGTTGATTATTTTTTAAATAATAGTTTAAATGATTTAAAATACGTTTGAGACACGTTTTTCCATTTTCTTCTGTTCTTCAAAGACAGAGGTTGAAATAAGGTCATGTAAAACGTTTCGAGAATATTAATAATGTTCATATGTTGATGTGTGAAATATAGGCAATTTGAAAACAAAACCTCTTTTCACAAAAAATATTTAAAACATTTCTTTCATTTTCTCCTCAAATGTACCCAAGGACGATAAAAATATCTTTCTATTTTCGGCGAACTCCTGTACTTTTGAATAGCAAACAAAAATTTACCATTTCAAAAGCACAATGTCAATGGTATAGCTATTTTGATAAGTAAAATCTGTTCTTAAAAAAATATACTTTGAAAACGTCATGTACACTTTTTAAAAATATATGTTGTTTAGCGTCATGTTGCAAATTTTCGAATTTTTAAATTCGAATTTCACGCACTTCTTTTGTCGAGCTTAATTAGTTCATCAATGGCCACACCGCGATAGGGCAGTTTGAAAATCTTAGAATTCGCCCCATTATTGATTGATCGACATGGATGAAAAGTAATTATTCTTATTTATTTATTTATTATTATTATTACTATTATTATTATTATTATTATTATTATTATTGGCGTATAAGCCATTACTGACCACGCTACACGATTAACGTGTGTAATTCTTCCAGGATCAGCTTTTCAGCTGTATCCTTGGATTACAACAAGGTTGTCACGCCTTGTAGTGTGACTTAAGAGATGATAGGATGATGATGATAGGTGAAGGGACAATCACAAATACGACCATGTCTACGCAGGACTCGAACCTGCAGCCTCCTCGGCACAGACGACGGCTGCCGCAACCGTCTGCCCCACGGGGCCGACCTTATTTAATTATTATCATTTATTATAAAACTTTGTCAATTATTGCTCGCACTTCCGGAAAGAATATAGGTAAAGTACGATGGGAATGATCGTGCGCTCATATAAGCGCGTTGATGATTTTATGTAGACTCAAGGGCCTGTTCTCAACACAATGGCGCTCTGTACCGTTGCGCACTGACGTACGATTATTAAGACGTCTTAATTGCGAATTATGTCCCTGCGATTTTGACGTTTCTTCCGGGAGAGACAGAGGAAGACAGAGACGTAGAGAGAGAAAGAAACAGAAATAGAGAAATAGAGACGGAGAGAGAGAGAGAGACAGAGAGAGAGAGAATGAAAGAGACACAGAGAGACAGAACTACACTCGCTAAAATACGAAGGTTGCCTTTTATGTTTCGGGATTTGGCAACCCTGGTGTTGCTATCTGGCAACTGACAGCTTTATCGTAACGTTGGATGTTTTGAGGTTATACGTACTCAGAACGTTTTGACATACGAGCGCTATTTGTGTTGTTTACAGTAACTTAAAAGATTTATCTTGGCTCAAAATGGAATTAAATCGTGAACAAATTTGAGCGATTATTTTTTACAAATTTCGACGTGGATTAACTCAGCAACAGTGCATGGACGAACTTAATTCAATTTTTGGCGATGAAGCTCTATCAAGGACCAGTGTTTATCGATGGTATGGTGAATTCAATCGTGGTCGTAGTTCACTCCAAGACGAATTTCGCGAAGGTCGTCCAAAATCAGAAGGTCGTCGAAAACTATTGATGCTGTGCGTGAACTGATATTGAATGATCGTCATGTGACCTATCGTGAGATTGAGACAACCTTAGACATTAGTGAGACCAGCATACATTCAATATTGCATGAACATTTTACTGTCAAAAAAAATTGTTCGAGTTGGATCCCACACAATTTGTTTATCACTCAAAAAAGGCTCGTGTCGATTGGTCGAAAGAAATGATCAAAAAATACGATCGCGGTGCTTTGAAACACATCTATAACATTGTGACAGGTGAGGAATCGTGGATTTACGCGTATGAGCCTGAAAGTAAACAGCAGTCGACTGTATGGGTGTTTCACAATGAGCAAAATCCAACAAAAATTGTTCGCGCACGAAGCACTTTCAAATGGTCGCCTGTTTTTTCAGAAAAACTGGACATGTCGCAACTGTACCACTAGAACAATGCAGAACAGTCAATTCTGAGTGATACACAACGATTTGTTTGCCAGCTGTCTTCAAAGCAATCAGGAAAACCAACCGCCGAAGATGGATCACTCTTCACCACGACAATGCGAGCTCTCACACATCGGCTCAAACAACTGCATTTTTGAGCACCTAAAACATCGATTTGATGAGTCATCCGCCGTATAGACCTGACTTGGCACCGAATGACTTCTTTTTATTCCCGTACGTAAAAAACAAACTGAGAGGTCAACGTTACCTGACGAAGCAGTTGCTGCATTCAGAATGCATGTTTTGGAGATACCTCAATCAGAGTGGCAAACGTGCTTCGACAATTGGTTCAATCGCATGCAAAAGTGTATAGATCTTCGTGGGAAATATTTTGAAAAACAATAAAGTGATTTTCGATTATTAATATTTGTTTTTGTTCTCTAATCCTGAAATAGAAAAGGCAACCTTCGTATTTCATCTATTGAAATTTTTGCAGAGCATAGCGTAAAACGTGATTAACAATCACTTGACCAGTAGCCTGTGAAATGTACGAAATAACGAAGCATTTCCAGGTCCACTACTACGTAATAAATTACTTACTAGCACGCAGAGAATCAGAAAGACCTACGCAGTGAAAAGAAGGCGTGTCATGCGGGTGACGGGATAGGTGGGCGAGCAATGCCCCATCGACCCAGCCACTCGTGAAGGACACTGTAGAAGAGTTGGCGACGCATCTGACAACACCAGCACCTACAATCTCTCCATATGTACGAGAGTGAAAGGATGGGAAAGGGTTGACTGCAGTGCGTTCGTTCAACGTGGAAGACAGACACAGGCTCCACACAGCACCACACAGCTCCTACACAGACTCCACAAAAGCGAAAATACTGCACCCGGTGCTGACAGAATAGCTATCTTAAAGCAGCTGACCCTGACAGCAAGATAATAGCGGTCATTTTTAGATTGATAAAGCTAGCAGGACGTATCCCTGAGTCATAGCGTCAATCACGAACAATCTTAATCAATAAAGGGTGGGAGATTGTAATCGCCAACTGGCGACCAATAGCCCTAACCCCTGTATAAACTTCCGTCACTCTGGCCTCACTTAAATCTCTGCGATTTTGAAGATAACATTTTAATTTTTGGGGGTAGTATACTCGAAACATTGCGACATTTTCAAAATTTAAAAAAATAGCTCAAATTTTCTCTTTAAATTTCTGGTAAGAATTCAATAGTGAAACATACTAGTAAAAGTGGCTTAGGTCTGATTTTCAGTATTAACCCTGAATTTTCAAAATATCGATTTCTCAAAAGAAATATTCAAAATATTGAATTTTTCCGCGTCTTCCAACAACTACAAAATTGAAGATAGAAATATTTTCTTGAATTTAAATTGGTTCTTCCTTTAAGGTCATGTACATTTTTTTGATCTTATATTTTTCTCTCTCTCTCTCTCACTCACTCTCACTCACTCACTCTCACTCTCTCTCTTTCTCTCTCTCCCTCTCTTCCTCTCTCGCTCTCTGTTAATATGCACATTTCCAGCAATTTGTACACATTATTGCATTTGTGATTAAATTTGCTTCAAATGACTTCCGATGAAGTCTCTAAAACTCAAAAGTTTTCTGTGTATAAGAGTATCTAATTACGCATTTACACTAAAATACTACTAATAAATTTAAAAAAATATATTCTTGAAAAAGCCACAAATGATTCAACAAAATTTTTCATTCAAGACGAGGTTTTACTCCTTTTTAATATTCTTAAAGTGATATTTCAATTCTGACATTAGGAAACTGAAAAATTGAAAACATTTCAAAAAACTTGGGCGGGGATAGCAGATGGCAAGAAAATGGGGCAAGACTTACTACTAGCCCAGACAAAAGAAATAAGAGAATTAACTAGTACGAGAAAGTCTGTGCCATTCTGCAGCATTAGTTTTTACTTTCTGTATAAATACGTATATACGGAGTAATGTACGTAGTATAGGGAAGGTTATGTAATGCTGCGGAAAATTGATTTCGAAATTTAAACGGAAATACGCGTTTTGAAGTCCCCTAATACCGAAAAAGTGTTGTTTTGTTCAAAACGTCCGTCCGTCTGTGAACACCACTCGCGCCTGAAAACTTCTCACAGAGGTTGATATTATTTCCGAAATGCTTTCGCAAGAAAAAGATGGCTGTTTAGCTGGAGCATGAAACGGGTAGTCAGAGGTCTCTGTGATCGAAATCGCGAACTGCGAACTAGTTGGTAGATGGCGTGTTGCCAGTAGTTACGTCACAGTCTTGGAGAAAGCTGGCATCGGGCACACAACACAACGCTTCTGAACAGGTTCTCGCAGCAAACAGCTGTCACGACATTTTGTAGGATTCTCTCGACGAAGAGTGCTATAACCAGATTATTTGTGGGAAAACACACCATAATGGATTAAAATAAGGTAATGACGTTGAGCACAACGTATTAATTAGTTCATAAGTAATAAAAAATTAAAAATAAATAATGTATGAATTCTTGCAAAGTGTAGATTTTATTTTTATTAATTCCGACAGTGAAATAATCTGCATCTTGTAAACAATACAGCTTTTCAGCAGATAGTTGTGTTTTGAAGAAGTATTTTAAAAATTAAATAAGAAGTTTATTAAAGTGAATTAAATAATGAGTTTATTTTATACAAGTAGAATTACAACGTTTATCAAACTTTACCGTAGCAACTTTATTCTAAGAAAGGCGAAATATTTAAGTCGATGAACATTTGGAATGAAAATTGTTCATTCCATGTTTGTAGGTGAAGTCTATAATCAATATATCACATATTTTCACATTTTATATTTGTACAAATAACCTGATATATGGTATATATTTAGACCCATTAAATTCATTCATTAGGCTGCAAATTGGGGTGGTTCTCGTTGATTGGTGGTTCACATGATTTTCAGTTCCTCTCTATTATTTAGCAATGAAATGCAAATGAAGTATGTCAAAAAATCCCTTTTAATTCGTAAGCATTGGATAATTGTACTTTAATGAGAAAATGTATGAATTATATTAATGTAATGTCAAGACAAAACCTCCTTTATTCTGTATTATTTCTATTTTGTATTACAATATCAATTGCGTTTTCATTGTTCACATGTTGTTTACAAAAACAGACGTAAACAGACACAATTATCAGTAAGAAGATATTTTAAATAGGTACCGTTACATTGCATTACAAACATAATTGCTTAAATTAATAATAAAACTGAAAGTATTCTGGATATTTATGGTCATTGTGATAGACGCAAATTTGACGAATGTTCACATTTCATTTATTTTAAACATTTTTTAGCTGGCAGTCACAGTATAATGAAACTTGTTTTCATCATAATTTCGCCTTTAAACGTTAAGAGAAAGAAACTTATATCACTGTCATGGCGCAGACTTTCTAAGACTAGTTAGTTTCTCTATTTCTTTATTCAGTCCTATCTTTTTGGTTTTGCTCCAACTACCCAGCTGCCATTTGTTCCGTCTAAAGGAGTTTTTGTTTTCAAATTTTTCAATATTTATGTCCCTTATTGATAGAATAGTAATATGAGAATATTGTGAAAGTGTAAAATCTGGTCATATATATAAATTTTCGGTGAAACTGTGAACAAAAATTACAATTGTGTAATTTAGAAAAAATATCAAAATATTGTTAAAGGTTCGTTGTTCAGTGATTTTAGAACTGCCCATTCAAAAAGGTAGAAAAAAGAATTTGGAATCGTTTTCGAGAAAATAAGGAGCTTTCCAAAAATGCAGAATTTTGAGCTCATTTTTTATCCAATAGTTTTAAGTTTTTTTAGAAACTTTATAAGACATCATTTGAAGCACTTGTACTCAAAAATAATGGAACTTGTACAGGGTAATAATGTATCGTACAATTGTCGGTAATACAAATAAATAATAAAGAAGTGAGAAAGAGAAATACAAAAAAATACATTTGTGAAATTTGCGGAAAAAACAAATTACAACAAAACAGCGTTTGTGGCATTAATTCAGGGGATTTGGAACTTTGGCTTTTGAGAAAGTATGGTTTTATATACTTTAATATTGTCCATATTTTCATCAAAATTACGCAAAATTATCAACATCTTCAAACATTACACACGATATTTATTGAAGAATAAAATTGTAAAAACAAATTATATTTTAACAAATATTAATATTGTAGTTGTAGAAAGACGCCCAAAAACTTTTGTACTTTTTCGAAAATTTAAAATTCTATGCAATCTAATTTTCTGTCTATTCTTACCAGAATAGTAAATAATATAAAACCATTTTAAGAAAATATTGAAAATTCCCCCCACGGACTTCAGGTGAAGTATCCCTTCAGTTCAAAGAATTCTTTTCAAAATCAGAGCTTCAGTTCAGGGCAGATCGAAAATTTTTGGAAAATAATCAAAAATAATTTAGGTGTTAGTGTTGTTAGCAGATGGACAGATGGATGCGTATGTTGATTGAAACACGTTTGTTCGTTTGGAATTTTCAATTTTCTTTTGGTTCACAAACAGAGCCATAATAAATTAGTAGAAAAGCTTTCCTCTATTATACTTGTTTCATAAACTGCCAAACCGTAATATTTAGAAATATTTTAATCTGTATAATGACTAACCAGTGTAATAAAACTTTTTTAACTCTAGTCTTACGATTACGTTCATTAATTTTATCAACACAAATTATAAATGACACAATGGTTAACAAGTGATAAATTATTACTAATTTCGACTTGCAGTAATGCCATTCATTGAAACAGAAGCAAGAAAAGGTGATGGACACTCAATTTCAGAGCCCCCCTTGGGGCTACCTCGTGAGGCTAGATGAGGCAGCGCCTATTATAGGTAAGCGTATGGCAAATATTCCACCAAAATAATGGAGACAATTCTCTAACGAATAATTACTTAACGTTTTCTCGTTTCCACTATTACCATGTGTATAAATTATACTTTTACCAGAGCAAATTCAAATTCTATCTTATAACCTTTGGTGACTGATAGGAATTATTTTGTCATTATGAAAGAAAAATGAGACGCTGAAGAACATCACTCCTGTTAATCATAATCTACCTTTTTATTAAAAAAAACTCCCTTATCGTTAATAAACATAAACCGCATTAAGAGATCTGTGCTTGGGAGGATTATTTGTATTTAATATAGTAAATTACGCGTTTTGACATTATATGTATACACACACACACTGGAGAGCTAAAAAAATGGTACAGCCATGCGTATTGAAATAAAGAGTTCAGGAACCAACAGAATACGGCTCTCCGGTCGGCAACGACTATATAAGACAACCAAAGTCTGGCACAGTTGTTAGACCGGTTACTGCTGCTACAATGGTAGGTTATCACGATTTCAGCGAGTTTGAACGCGGTGTTACAGTCGGCACAAGAGAGATGGGGCATAGCGTCTCCGAGGTCGAGAAGAAATTTGGATTTTCCCGTACGACCATTTCACGAGGGTACGAGTGAATATCGAGAATCCCGTAAAACATCCGATAAAATATCTGGCATCGCTGCGGCCGCAAAAAGATCATGCAAGAAAGGGGCCAACGAAGTCTGAGGAGAATTATTACACGTGACAGAAGTGAACCCTTCCTCACATTGTTACAGATTTCAATGCTGGGCCAAGTAAAAGTGTCAGCGTGCGAACTATTCAAAGAGACATTATCGATACGGGGTTTCCGAGCCGAAGGTCTACTCGTATACCCTTAATAACCGCATGAGACAAAGCTTTACGCCTCGCCTGGGCCAACATTCAACACCGACATTGGTCTGTTGATGACTGGAAACACGTTGCCTGGTCTGTCGAGTCTCGTTTCACATTGTTTCGAGCGGAGGGACGAGTTCGAGTATGACGACAATGATCCATGGACCCTGCATGTGAACAGGGGAATGTTTATGCTGATGAAGGCTCTGCGATACTATGAGAGTTGTGCAGTTGGAGTGATATGGGACCCCTGATACGTCTAGATACGACTCTGACAGGTGACACGTACTTAAGCATTTTGTCTGACAACCTGCATTCATTTATGTCCATTGTGCATTCCGACGGACTTGGGCAATTCCACTCGAGCAGAACAATGCAACAGCCCATAAATTCAGAATTAATACTGAGTGGCTCCAGGAACACTCTTCTGAATTTAAACTTTCACTGGCCTCCAAAATCGCTAGACATGAACATTATTGAGCATATCTGGGATGCCTTGCAAAGTGGTGTTCAAAATAGATATCCACCACTCGTACTCTTACGAGTTTATGGATAGCCCTGCAGGATTCATGGTATCAGTTACCTACAGTATTACTCCAGTCATTAGTCCAATTCATGTCATGTCGTGTTGAGGCACTTCTGCTCGCCTAGACCCTACACGATATTATGATAGTTTATCACCATTACCAGTTTTTGGCCCTTCGGTGTATGTGTGTGTTCCAGATTTTATGAACCTTATTTTTCTTTGAAAGGTAGACGGCGTCTTCCTTGCCTTCAGCCACTTCACTTGTATTGCCAACGACAATCAACAACGTGCCTGGCTTTTCTAAAGCGAATAACTAACTTTACGTTGCGCAGGCTTGTCTTTGATTTTTTACCCTTTGGCGAAGAGACCTCGTGTGTCTCTAGAAAGCATTTATAATCTCCAATTGTTTCAGAGTTGCGAGGAAGATTTGTGCCAGTTTCTTTCAATGAAGAACTAGCCTTTGAAATAGACCACAATGAAATTGCTGAAACAACGTTGTGGGTTGCTTCTTTCCCGTGCTGGGTTTCCACTCAGAAAGTTATGGGAAAAAGGATGAAAATTAAATACAATTCGATGATTACCGTCAAAATGGGAAAGAAGTTTCAAGGTAAGATATTGTCTAGTTTTTGGTAAATACCGAGATGGTTTATATCTATTTAGTATTATTGGACTGATGATTATATGGCGTACACCATAGATTTGAATAAGGTAACTTAATGAAATATTAAATGAAAACGCTTTCAAACTGAAAAAATAACATTTATTTGTAATAATAACAAACAACTTGGCACAATATTGTTTGTAAATTAAAAAGAGCGATACAATATTTAATTAATTTAACACTTTTCAATAAAAGTACGTAGATCCTTTTTCACCTTTCAAATAACCAAAGGTCTTTCCTTTATGTCCAATTCCATATGTAGTACACTTCACTATATCGACTCTCCAAATATTTTAGTTGGTTTACTTCCCCATTATATTGTCCTCAATCAAAAACCCCGCAAATATCACATTGCATTTTTTACAATCAAATTCTTCACTGAGTTACGCCACACCAACTGAAATTTAAGTCAATAATTTACAAATTAATTATTTCATCATCACTCCCATGAAATGATTAATTTAAGATTTAATACACGATAATACCGCCTAATTTTGATTCGTTACAATATCAAATTATCAAAATTATGCATATCTGATTCATGCAGTCCTGAAAATTCTGCTGCACTAGTGTATAATCTGTTTTCGGGTTCATAGTACTTGACGTTTTTGCAACTACGACTGGTGTTATGAAAACATTTCTATTGATCAGTAGTATAACGAAATAAGTGCGTGTCCACCCGCAAAACTTTTACCTGGGGCCCCTTTTAAAAGAATGTAGCAAACATAAATACTGTTAGTATCATAAATACTCGTAATAAAAATATCCTTTAACAGATTCGAATTCATTATTCTATGATTAATATCCAATGGTAGAAAAATCTGCCTTTATTATTTAATTTAATGAAATTGACTGTTATAAAACCTAAATGAGTTGCTTACTTTATTGATTTCGAAACAGTGATACATAAGCTAACGAAGTAGAAAAAAGCGTTCTTCTGGAAGATATTTTTTGAAAAAATATTTTATTGTGTCAACTATCGCAAAGTATCGGAAAAAGTATCATGTAAATGATATTTCTTACAGTCGCAAAACCTTCAGCCTAAAAATAGGTCCTCTTTTACCTGGGCCCGCCCGCATTGCGGCCCTTGCGGGCCCGAACGTTACGCCACTGCTGTTGATAATGGATCATCTCCAACAGATTTTTCTGATGATAAGGCGTATACCATAGATAGGAATTATTGTACTATATAATAAAATAATTGTCGTAAATATTAACGTACAATCTTGACTAACAATAAAAACTACATTAACAGATTGATTCATTTATTAGTGATTCCGGGTGCGTCAACTGCTGAGGCCATTAGTGGCGTAAGTGTAGTGCATGTTTTTATGTAGTGCATGGGATGTGACGGTGATCTTTTCCCGCTGGTTGGCGAGATCCGGTGCCGACCTATGTCGGTTTCTTCAATCAGATATCTTCCACCAGTGTGGCTCCGCCCCAAACGGAACCACCTCTAAGCTCCCGATTGGCGTCCCAGCATGGTAGCATAGTGCATGCGAGTGTGTGTGTGTGTAAGTGTAAGGGGTGAGAGGAAAGGAGGAAGGAAAGACCGTGAGCGGTGCGTGGCCCATTTGTTAGGGTGTTTATCGGAGAAACCACGGAAAACTACGGAACAGAACAGCCGGTCGCTAGAATTCTCCTCCAGATAGCTATTTAATTCAGCGTATCTGAAAAGCAAGAGCCGAAAATCCTGCTACCGTCTGGACTCGAATCCCCAGCGCTTCCTGGTCAAAGGCACTGCACTGACAACGGTTGGCCCTGAACCACCTGCCCTGAACCACCCATGCCGGTAAAAAACACATTAAATCAAATAACTGATCTTTATTCGATTTTCTAAAATGAGCATCGCCTACGCTGCGCTGCGGAGCAATTTAATCGTCTCGAACCGATCTCGGGAAGGGTGTCCGCCCAGTTTCTCACGTTCAATTGACTTCCGTGCTTTGCTTTTGGACATAAATATTGTTTCACTGTCTGCGGGCTTTCTTTAGATATTTGGAATATTGCTAGGGAATTTGGTTATTTCGTCAGAAGTGTCTTCCAAAAAATCTACTCCGTGTTCTTGCGTTAGTGAGTCGATTCCTTCAAGGGGACACGATAAAGAAATAAAGAATGCGAGTTTTAAAAAATCTAAAAATTTGTAGTTTATGTTGTGGTGCAAATATTTACTATACACAGGAGGGACATTTCTTGCCATCCATTTTTGCCAAAAACGCTCGTTTACTATATTTCTTCATAATTGAATGTGGGCTAGAAAAACAAGGATTGGGATTATGAATCCCATAAAAAGGTGACCACGTTGTTTTACCCCCGATAAATCTCTGTTTTTACTGTTTTATTGAATAAATAACGACCCGCTGACTCATGGCTAGCGAGCTACCTTTCCATGTCGCAGCACTCGGCTCGATTTCCCGAGAGGGCAAACTGTCGCTTTTTACTGAAATGTCCCCGTATAACTGGTTGATAAGGTAAAACTTTCTCGCAAGTAGAAAATACCAATGAGTTTAAGGGGTTGAGACCTGCTTTTCACAGTTGTCCCGAACCCAAAGCTTTCAGTCTAGAAAGCCATGGCTGGCAATATTCTGATGACGCTGAAATGTCCACACCCAAAATCCGCTCCGATTGTCTTAACGCCCTGTGTTAAGCCTGCTTACTTAATTCGTTGCTTAGGTGGTTCGTTGGTGTGCAGCTACGATGGTATTTATATAGTACGTGAGTACTGTAACCAGATCAATGAGCAAATAAAAAATGTTTACACCAGTGTGTATTTCCAAAGTAAAGCAATTTTGCAATAGCGGATGTTGCTCCAACAAACTGATGGTTGCAGCTCCATTGAATGACATATGTAATTTCCAAAATTCAGAACATTAACATATAATAAAATGTAATCAATTCATGTAAATTCATTAAAATGAAGTTTAATATAGGTCTATATTGAAACATTACTTATATATTTTTTTTGCATACTGTAGGGGGCAGGCGCACGTGGTTCGGGCTTTAATTTCTACTGGACACTTAAATTTTGTATTAGTTATGCATTGAGACAACTGACGATCATAGAATTCATATAAAACAAAAAACTTGGTTTCGATAATACGGAGATCGGCTCCAGCACTTTGCCGCAAGAACTATTGTTTGAACACGGTTTACACAAATAAAATTATTTTATGTTCCTTACCATGATATATATTGTAATAATAAAAGATATTTCTGCTCACAGCCGTATTCACACCATTGCTCTCAGACTGTAACTGCCGGAAATATGCAGCCACCGTGAGAGACAGAAAAGGTCTTCTTCCAGAACGGCTAATTTTACACAAAGAAGTCATCAAGTGTATATTTTGATCAATAAACCTAATATCATATGAAAATAAACTCTCCAAACATCATAAATAATGCATTTAATACCGTCAATAATCGACAGAACTTGAGTACTTTGAATAACATGCGAAATTAGTAAAATTAAGGTACATCCAGTGTCAAACGAAGACAGAATATTGGTATTTCTCTTGGAAGCCGCGCAGCGTTCGATGACAAGTCCTCCACCCACTTGGTTGCGCCACCAAAGGCCCTAATAAGCCTAGGGTTAAGCATAGATACAAAGAGTAAATGCAGTAATATAGCCAAGAGCGTGACATGGTGCAGGGCCTGGGAGGCCAGTCGCCAGAGAGAGCGCTCGTTGATATGAAATGATTTCATATACTTCGATATTGCTTGAATATGGAACGTCATTAAAACGATCATGTATTTCCTAAAGTATTGTAAAATATTTTTCGATTATCTGAGGAACCCGTGCAACCTAAGCACGAGCCGCTACTGCAATTTTATAATGTAAAATTTCCTTTCTGTGATACTGTTCCCATTTATCACTTTTTAAATTTTATGATGGCTTAGCATTGCAGTGCCATATCATACAATTTTCTAAAGTCAATAAATTGGGATTTTCTACAATCCGTGAACTTAAGACATAATTTTCTTATCGACGAGTGTGAAATTAACCAATTTGGCTTCTGAGTGTCACATACTTTTTTTTTAATTTTGAAATTTAATGCATTTTGTGCACTCATATACTTTAAATTGTTTTAAGTAGTTCGAAATCTCAAACGTTTTCGTGTAAGGATTCTCTTTCTTTGTGCACATATTCACCGAATGATTTAGTAATAGTGGCGATAATGAGTAGGGCCGATGATTAAATTCCAAACCCGCAAACTGTTTTAACTTTAAACTTGTAGCTCGGTTAGAACAAAGTACACTTATAATGCTGCTTTCAATTACGGGTACAATCATTGAAATTTTGAAAATTGGAATATGTTGTGCTTGGTTTGCTAAAGAGCTTTTCAAGCTATATCTGAAGAATTTGTAAGATATAAGTCACAATTTTACATCAAGTTACTATTACAATCACGACGAGTAAATACTTGCTGTTGTAGCATAACTACACCGTTTTGTACCTCCAATATAACTTTTGTGATCAGGGCATCCGTACTTACTCTGGTTTACAATTTTGTTTTCTCTTTTTAGTATTATTTGTGAAAAGAAGTATCGACGAGGTGTTTCTTCAAGATGCGAAGATTTCTGAGAATTACATTATCGATAAACTTCTCGGGCAAGGAGGATTTGGTCAAGTATTCTCCATATACAAAAAGGTGGGAAAATGTCTATCTCTATCATATCATTATTATTCAAGAATACACACAAACTATTTGAATCACTCATTATGTATCACTATTTTTTCACATCTAGATTATAGAGGACCTCAAGAAATTGTTGAAGTTTTATTTTTCGAAATCTTGTAACTAGAAAATTCGTTTTAAAATTTATTGATTTTTAACGTCGTTTCAATCAGTACATTTTTACTTTCTCGCCTTTACAAATGTAGGAAGAGAAAGTATTGTAAACGTAGCCGGAAAACGGCGATTTTCGATAGAAATATTGTCGAGCCAGAGTAATGAAAAAATGGATAAATCATGTTCCTACACACAAGTATGGTCAATTGCTTTATAGTCATGTTTTTTGGAACCTTGATACCTAAAGATCGATTGAAGGCAAAACGTCTGTCTGTGCGTCTTTGGACAGCACTACCGGCTAAACCGTTCACCCAATTTTCTCCAAAATTAATGTTCTCCTATCGAACTCCAGACTTTGGGAGTTTCAAACAGATATTTTTATTTTGAGAGCATGAAACTTCAAAATTTTCTCAAAAATATCACCATTTTTTGTTAAATGTTGTCCTTGGTGTCTTGTGTCTTGTTCAGGACACAAGAGAATGGTACATGTCTTATGTTCGTTAAAATTCCTGATTTTTCAAAAATTGCAAAAGTGCAATTTTTTGGGGGGGCCATCTTCCTACAACTGCAATAGAAAAGATATAGATTTTTCCTTCAATAAAATCCACTCTTCAAATACATCTTGAAATTAGGCTATGTTCAATTTTTCGAAATTAAGAGTAGTTTTTGCGTGACTTTACGCAAAAAAGTCACTTTTTTATTATTTAAAACATTTTTTCTCAAAAACCAGTTTAAATTTTTTCTTTACGTATTCTCATATGTACCAAGGAAGTGAACTTTTATGATGCAAAAAGTGAACTTTTCTTTTACTTTTCGTTATCTACAAAATTGAAGTTAGAGATTTTTTCCTAAGTCTGTTGAAAAAAAAGAGTTCCTTTTTTAAAGACCATGTACATAAGTGTACAGACCACAAGTAGTTTTCGCGTAACTTGAGCTTTAAATTAATGCAATTTATAAAACAACTTTTTCTCAGAATCGGCTCCAATTTTTTAAAAATATTTCTTTCCCCTTCTTTCTCCTTTCTTACCCCCCATACACTTACATTCACTACACTACTGCACATATCGGAAGATGGGTCGGGAGCTTAGAGCTTGTCCTGGCTGGGGCGGTTCCCCGCTGGTGGGATATACCTGGTTGAGGAAAACCCCGGTACCCGAGGCAGATCGGCGGATCTCCAATCTAGTGCGGGAAAATCACTGCCACCTCCCGAGCAAACACATGCACTACACTTACGGGACCAAGAACCTTACCTATTGAGGCGCCCGTAATCAATAGTAATTAATCATGAGATTGCTGAGTTACTGCCTTAAAACACTCGACACCTATGTGAGTCTAAGGGACTTCTTTTTATTTCCATGGGAAATCATGAATATTTTACGTATTTTAAATGATTACATATCATTTGTATAGAATTTGGAGGGGAAATATTACACATAAACATGAACAAAAATATATAAATTAAATAATAAAAATATATAAATTGAATAGTAATCGGAATGCACGTGTCAATGTGTAAAATTACTGATACTATTTTGGCAATTCAGAGTAAAACCTATTTATTCCCTCAACTTTCATGTAAAAATATATTCTTGAATTATTACTAAAAGTACAAACAAAATATTTTTAATAATATTTATTATGTAGATATATCTTACCAAAACTCAAGTATCTATGCCAAAACAAATTGCACAGGAAAAAAATGAGCATAAATAATTTAATAAGCTTAGAGCATTAATACAGATTTTTCTGACGTTCCTTGTAATTTTTGACAGCGGCCTGACTTTGTCTCTGAAATTTTTTTTATCACAAAACCAGTGATTGTTGTCTCTTTTTCAATAATATTAGAATGTTATAGAGTACTTATACTGCATAATCACAGAGTTCATATCCGTCGTGATTAAGATTCTTGAAATGTGGCTGTAAACGTCCAAGTTCTTTTTTTAATTTGTTGCGTCTTCACTTGTCACAACGCGTCTCCAAGCCCCGGGGGGAGTTGAGCACTTTGCGCTTTTGGGTTAATCCTCCAGTAATATTACAATGGCATATGTCACTTCACGACTCGTTGCAGTCAGTTGTCAAGAGGACCGCCATGTAGCATCTCCGCGTACGCGCCTCATACTACGTGCCCTGTGTCACTACCCAGCGGGCAGAATTGGAAAGGAATTAGGATTAGGGTAGGGTTTAGGACACTTCACAGGGGTTGAACTAGCCCCTGTGAAGCATGCAATCTCGTTTTGTCGTAACAAATTTCACATGAGGTACTACGGGAATCGAACCCGGAACCTCAGTGGTGAAAGGCAATCGAGCATAAGTTATTGAGCAAGGCCAGAGCATAAGTTATTGATGCCATTGGAAATCACGAAATAAATAAAAGACAATGACACTTGTCAATATGAAGTTCATATCTCGAACATTCTTAACGTTCATCTTCTCATATTCGCACCTTACGTATTAATTTCTCGCCCAAATAATGCTGGAGTTCCATTTGCATCCTCTTCGTAACAAAGATTCAATTACATTAAAATATTTTTCAATTATAAATTTTTCAAATAGTTAAAACATAACTCCAAATATGGCAAAGTTATTACAAGAAACTGATGAGGTTTAACTTCGTTTAACAATGAATACTCCTTGGACCGGTGTCCACATTGTTACACAAATGTTCGCAGCAGGACTACAACACCCTATACGTCTCAAAACCTGTTAGGTAAATATCATCGCTTATAATAACTGGAGATAATATAACAAAGTATGTGGAACATTTCAATCGCGCAGTCTTCTACTGAAGAAACAATAAATTGATCCTGTTTTCAGAGTTTTAGCGCGAGTTCGCCTGGGTTAATCAATTTTCTGATTGACTGATTACAATTTTCGAAAGAAAACATATTGTTCTTGTCTAGAGTTTGATTTATATTCAGAGTAAATATGTTACCTATTAAATAAATGTTTATACTTCCATACAATGTAAATTTAACAATACAGATCCAGTTACTCGACCACCCTTATTCACATGTTTCCCTCCGTTACAAAGAAGTATGAATTACCAGGGTACATCCAAAATAACACGAAAAGGTGATAAAAATGTATTCATATTTTACGTTCATTTTTATGTACGCTTTTCTCGTTGCAGACATCAGGAGAAAAACAAGCTCTGAAAGTACAACATTGGACCGAAAGTGGTGCTCGTTATCTAGCTCGAGAAGCAGACATACTTCTACAGCTAAAGCATGTTAGTAAAATTAATTTTTTTTTTTTTCATTTGAAGTTTTCAAGCGCAGTATTACATCCAATTTCAAAATATAAATGTTGAAATAAAATTGACGAAGTTGATAAAACAATGTGAAATAACATTGATTTACGTTACTTGAGATTTAAAGTTAAGTTTTAAAATAAATTTGTCTGTTTCAGCCATGCATTATTAAAACTTATGATATAAAATATTCAAAAACACACATGTATATTATTATGGAATATATGAATGGTGGCGATCTTTCGCGATTTGTCAGTTTAAATGGTTGTCATCTCTCAATGCAAGAAACAAAACTAATATTTTACCAAATAGTAAAAGCAGTTAAATATCTTCATTCAAAAGGAGTTTGTCATCGAGATCTTAAGGTTAGAAAATTATTTGTGTATAAAGCTGATTGTATTGGTCATCATGATGTAACAAAATATCCTTATGACCTCAAATATCACTATAGATGGAGCAGGTTCATCAGAATTTCACCAAGAAGAATGTAACTAATTAATACTTACATTTACAAACTTTGTTTTACTTTTTTAAATACATAATATACAGAAAAATATCGATTTCTCCCGTATTGTTTAGATTTTTCAAAAATTACACAATGTATTAAGCACTATTTACGAGAGTTGGAATCATATGTAGAAACGTAAATATCAGTTGCAAAAGTCAATCTTAATAACTCACAAGTGAAGAAATTACATAGATGAGTGATTTCAGACGTTTCGTCGGCGAGAGTTTTCAGAATTCCTCAGTATGACCTAAAATAAAGTATTGTGTTTAATGAGTAATAAACACATAGGTCGGAAAGCTCTCTCCGACGAAACGTCTAAAATCACTCTCCTGTATAACATTTTAGCCTGTTGAATGTTTTATGAAAATTGACTTGTATAATCGATATTTATGCTTTTGTGTATACAATGTGTTTTGAAATACCTTGCACGTGGTTAATAGTTACATTACGGGCGTTTTTTAGATAATATCTAAGTACAAATGCTTCAAATGATTTTTAATGACGTTTTCCAAACACTTAAGTTTTCTGTGAAAAATAGTTCAAATTTGCGCGTTTTCAAAAACGCTCGCACGACATTTTCTCAAAAACTGCTTTAATTTTTTCTCACAACAAATGGTTCCTCAAAATTATATCTGTAAATAATGTCATGTGTAATTTTTTTTTCAAAATATGTAGTTTTTATGTAATTTTGAGTGAAATAATGGGTAATATTACAAAAAAGTTGGTCTCAAAAACTGCTCCAATTTTCTTCTTTAATTTTTTGGACACAAAGTAAAGTTAACGTAATAAAGTTGCATACGTTTTTGGTTGTTTTTTTTCATTTCGAATTCTGGAATATTGAAAATGAAAGAGTTCAATTTTTCAAACAACTTTTACACCTTTGATGTTGAAACTAGTTACTTCTAATGTGATTCAATCTATTTTTGAATAATAGGCTTTGAAATAATTTCCGATATATTATTTCAAAATAGCCGTTTTCCCGTAATTTTAAATTATATGGTGGTAAAGTTCGTTTTTTCGAACCAGCACTACACTTTCAATATTAAAGCTAGAAATTTCTTTTTTAATGCAATCAATTTTTAAATAATAGGTATTTCAATTTTTTCATATACTACGATTTTCGAAATATGAGTAGCTATCACGAAATTTGAGAAAATTTTCTTAATTGTAACAATCATTTTAACAAATTTTAACAATCATGGAGCATTTACTAAAGCTTTGCATGCGTAGACCAGTGGCGGCTGCTATCCCAACAAACTGGTAGATGCAGCTCCATCGAATGACGGAAATGCAATTTACTTAATTCGTTGCGCCTTCGCAACGCATCTCTAAGCCCTTGCGGGGCATTGAGAGCTTGGAATTCTCCTTGAAATCCTTTTAATGTGGTCAGTCGTTGCCTTTCTATACCTTCGACCAGGGGCTTGGCAGCCTTTAGATCCCCGGATTCTCTGACGGTCATCCAACAAGAAACACATAATGCCTCGAATTCTTTTAATCTCCGTGATTTTACGGAGCGTACTTAAGGAATTCGGCGTAAATGTTCAAAATTCATAACACGAATAAAGTGATAAAATAAAGCGAGATAAAAAATTATTATTAATTAGATGAAGGAAGGATTAGATGAAGCTTGAATTTGATACAATTGCGCATTAAATTTGGATCAGTGTTGAGACTTACACTTAGACTTACATGTACTACACTCTCACGAATGCCGGGAGACGGTCGGGAGCTTAGAGCCTGTCTCGGTTGGGACGGTGCACCGCTGGTAGGAGATACTTGTTTGGGGAAAACCCCGCAAGCCGTCGATAGGTGGGCGCCGGATCTCGCCATCACAGCCACCTCTCGAGGTAAAAAGTTCAACACACTTAGGGACAAATGACCTTAGTCGTTAATGCGCCCGAAATAGCTAACAATTTGTATACCAACATTATACACAATCTCTTATGACATCGAAAATTGTACAGAAACTGCAGGATTCAGAAACTAGTTCAATAAAATAACATACATCATTAAACAATTGCCGGGAGTACGTTTTATTTACTCGTAACACAGAAAACAAGAATTACAAATCGACAAATGAAACATTACGAAATATAAATGTAAATAATCATTACTCAAAAAACACATATTAATAATGAAAATGAAATGTGCTGTTTAAAACATTCATTAAAGAAAATCTAGAACTTAGAAACTGTTGTTTCATCGGAAGTGTGACGCTCTAAAGGTTCGCCTGTGTTTGGCGTCTCTCCCCCAAATACATATGTCCTGGCGATTCTAACCTTGTTTGCTACTGACTCCTCAATGTATTGTTCTGCAACACTAGTTGAACTCCATTCGTATTTTTCTCTTCCATCCAAGTTACAAATTTATTATATTATTTTTCATAATTTTCAGCTGATTTTCTAGGTATTAGCTACAATTTTGCTTTAGCAACTTCAGTAATTATTACCTCAGGTAAATCTAATCTACAGGAACAATTACCACCACGGCCGCACCTATTTCAGTCGGCCTTGACCTACATTATGTACGTAACATACCATTCATTTCCTGGTTCAGTAATCATTTTAGCCTCGTAATAATATTATAATGATGTTATACAAACAAATAGCGTATGCAATTCGTTTGAAATATTACTTTTTTGCACTCATAAGAGTAGCCACATTCACTACGTCGTCCATGCGACTATTCTTATTCGTGCCAAAAAGATTAACATTATAAACTAATGGCATAACATACTATTAAAATACAAACCATCACGAAGCGTTTAAGAAAGATAATGAGGAGTTTTATAAACCCTGGTAATTCATCAGTTTCAAGAAGCTTAATTTAAGATTTTTTTTAAAACTTGCTAATAATTCCCTAATATTTAAATAAAATACCAAGTTTCCCTTATTAATTTAAAAATTCCGAATATGCAGTTACCTTCAGATATATGAAAATATGCAAAAATCTGGAAAATCAAATTTGGCAAGAAAACTCCAAATTGGCTGATTCGTAAAGAAATATGATAGTTTTCTAAGAAACCATTAACAAAAAATGTAGTAAGCATTTTCATACAAATCCTGGCACAATTGATAACTAAAGTACTATAAAATAAATATTTTCTTTTAAAACACAATTAGGTTTTTCTCGGTTCCAATAGGCAATAAGGCCTATTTGCAAATGTCATTTTTGATCAGATCATGCACTTCTTGGAACTCATTACTACAGATCGAAAAAATGTGTAGTATGAAACGTCAAAATATGAAGTACATAAATAGGTAATGAAAACAGTAAGAATATGTAATAAATATGTAAAATCGGATATAATATATAATTTAAAAAATTATAAAACACATTTACAAACTATGATATTACATTTGTAAAAACGTTCCTTAACAAATGTTTAAAAAATACAAACGTTTTAGAAATCAGTAGTAAAAACCTTCAACCATTGCTGTCCACGACCGTAGTTTAGCTGCCAGACTGGATGCTTCAGAGCTATACTGCTCTGAAGGAGGCCACAGCAAAATGGCCGAAACGTCAGTAACATTGACCGAGACGCGGCTCATCCCAGATAGCCAAGAATGCATTGACTCCGGCCGCTGAAGCCTAGGAACCCACCCATGACATGTGCCGTGTCTGCCATACCATAGATACGCCTCTGTCTGGCCTAATTGCCACAAAACATCCTTGAGTCTGCCCCAAGCCTAAAGTTTGTAATTACTAAAGACGGAAATACGACTACTTCTTTGCCTCTTAAAACTAATAGAAACAAATTTTGTTTTAAATTCTTTTTTTATTATTACTAATATTTCAAACTTAATTCAGAGATGTGATTTGTTAGTAATACCATATGTAATTTTGTTGGCAGCCAGCGAATATACTCTTGTGTCGTCCAAAACCACACACACTAATTAAGGTGTCAGATTTAGGTTTGGCTAAATCAGAGATAATGCATGGGCCAATGTATTCATGGTGTGGAACAGAAGCCTTTTTAGCTCCAGAGGTATTGGGAAGAGGAAGAATATATGACAAGAAGGTTGATGTATGGAGCATGGGTGTCATTCTATACCTAAGGTAATTTGTAATATGTTAAACATTATTGGATTTCACAAATGAGTACATTACAGATTTACCAAATTATTAATTCCCCCAGTTTGAGTGGAACTTTGCCAATGTTCTCTGGTGATACTTTACAATTCACTGGAGTTGCTTCCCTGTCGACAAATACTCCAGTAACGCAGTTACTTCAAGGAATGCTGTGTAAGCAGCCACTGATACGATTTGATATTGGTATGGTGGGCCAACACCCGTGGCTACAGGTAACGAACATACGATTCTTCTTTGTATTAATTTATTTCACTTGTTTTTACAGGTCGAATGTTTTTGTAGTCCGAAAATTTAAAAAATGTCAAAGAGAATATAAAAAACAAAATTTTGACAAGCACTTACAACTTCATACTTCAGGTTCTGTAGACTTCATTACATTTGTAATGAGTGGCATTACATTAGAAATATTGACCGTTCCAATTGATTCTGGCAACATTTTAAAAGTGCTTTCATTTAATAATGCTCCTTCTTGCTCAGAGTGAGTCCGTTTGTTGTGCAAGTTCTCTTTGAGTACGATTAATCTAGTCAATTTGTCCATAAAAAAAATTGGAAGATTTTTTTTCTCTCGTCGGGTTTAATTGTGTTTTGGGGTGCTGAAATAGAATTCGATATTTCCAGCTCGAGAAATGTCGGCTTCATAAAAAAGTAGCAAATAAAATTAAATCAAAAAACTGCCCTTTTCCGGTTTTTCATTTTTACCTCGAAAATTATGCGCTTTATCGAAAATACCTTGATAATATTTCTCCAAAATGCCATTATATAAATTCAAAATAGGTAAGATGTCCTACAGAATGCATGTTATAATTAAAGATTTAAGACGGAATTTCTTGGCAAACGAATCATGTGCTAGGGTGCGTTGAAAGACGCCCACGTTTGGCTCTCTGGCAAAAAGGAGAAAGTAATACTCTCCCACCCAATTATCTGGCTACAGCGCTTTAGTTTCACCGCAACATACTTGCAAAAGTCTATTGAATGAACACTCCGATACTCACGGAATCAGTAGCAATGCGTTTATTCGCGCAGGTTGACATCCCAGCTTTAGATAACTAAAATATGAGGGAGACATAGAAGGAACGTGTTTGGAATATAAAGAGAAAAGAGTATGGAGTGCATGAGAGTGATATTCAGTTTTCAATGAGAAGTAGTCTGTAATTCTTCTGCGTGTTTTTGTTATCAGTTGAATCTGTCAAGAGCTGTGTAAAATAACGATAAATAATGAAAAAAGGAGAGACATGTTCTGTTCAATAGACATGTCATATTCTTATAATATACGAGTATATATAATAACAATATATATTTTATATATTAAGTGTCAAATTGCAAGAAAAAACTTCCAGAATTTTTTCCTAGATCGGGCCCATTTGAGCGCCACTACTGTCGTTAAGCCCCGCAGATTTATCCCTGTTTGTGTTGTACGTGGCATAAAACCAGTGACATTTGTGGAGAAGGCTCAGAGCATCAACTTATGCTACTGCAGTGCCTGAACGGGGGCCCTAGGGCTCGAGTCCCAACTGCTTTGGTCGGTAGTTTTCCGTGGTTTCTCCGATCAATTCCAGTCAAATGCTGGTGCAGTGCCATAACAAAGAGGCCACGGACCTCTCGCGATCTTTCCTCTCTCTTCCTTGTCTTATTCTTAATCCTTATTTACACACACGTGCATGTAACTCCCTTTTGGTAGTAGCAAGCGACCATCAACAGACAGAAACGAAAGACTGATTTCCTCAAAGGGGCACTCCCAAGCCTTGAAGCGCAATTCCCTTCCTATCATTTGTGGACCCTACGTTTCGGTCGACGGAGCGCCAAAACCAAGGAACTGTAAAATGTACACACCTTTAATCATTAAAAGGCCTGATGATATCACTTTTCAGTTCCGTGGATTACGGCAGGATGAGTTCTCTCAAAGGAAACGGCACCGCTTCTGCTCGGATCGAAAACGCACCACCGAGCTACATCACTCTCAAAGCCGCGTACGAAGTTTAAATACAGCTCCTATTGCATCATGCATGGAACAACCACAATATCGTCTCCACACACGTGGTTTTCAAAACGTCCCCTTTTGTGTTCTCTTTTAGACAGGTTTTAAACATACTAAGCTTTAAAAAGTATACGTGAAAAATCAAGTTTTAAATGGGCCAAATTGGTGTTCCAATTCCTAGGACTGAGTTTTTTCCAACTTGCCAGTTTCAGTGAGGAAGTAATCAATCTATCCTGTTGAAAAATGGTGTTGGGCTACAAGTACAAGATCTGAGACATAATCTAGAGCAAATTATTCCAACATGTTCGTATAGAAGTGCACATAAGATGTTGTTTCTATTAACAAAATTAATAGTGAACCAAATAGGGCATTTAATGTCTCACATGTATAATTTTGGGTTGCCTGACAAATGATGAGTTTCATTATTCCTAAATGACTTATGTTATAATATTTTTTTCAATAACATATGATCAAGTTTTCATTGCACTTTGTGGTGTAAAACACAAGTTTGGTACACAACCTTGTTGATCACAACACTGAATGTATTTTGGTTTGTTTTTGAATTGTTTTTTGTCATAACTCATTTATTGTCATAACACTAACCAATACAATATGCAACTCTAAATTAGGTTAACATGTTTGCTCAGAAAACATTTGAACTGCATTAAGAAATAAGAACACTATGTTGAAATAATGTTTAATTTATAAAGAATAATTCAGTCCCTTTTTATATGAAATAAAATAAAATATTTTTCACTCTGCTCCTCTGAGTGCTCAGGAAATCTTTAATTTTTTCAAATAAATATTTTTGCTAGTTCATTGTCTTACTAGGCTTGCAAGTGTTTTCATTAATTCATATGCTGAAATTTTAATATAACTATTTTTCTGTTCAGGACAATACTGTTGAAAAGAAAGTCCAGTGTCTGATGAGATACTTTGGTAATGATAATGTCAATATCAAAAATCATTCAACCAAAGTTCTCACATCTAAAAGTGACAAAAGATTAATATCTGAAACAACTATTATGGGTAAAGGAAACAATATCTCAACATTAAAAACAGTTGTAAAAAAAGAGTCTCATCAGATCACAGAAAATATCGGAGAAAATTCTACAAATAAATCAGAAGGTATTAAAGAGGAACAAAATACTAAAGTATCACCATTAAAAAAGAAGAAAAGAGTTCACAAGAACAAAAAAAAGAAATCTGCTTGTCCAGAAACAGTGCAAAATTATCAGAATGTAAATCCAATCACTAAGAAAATTACAGTTTCTACATACGAAAGTAAAAATAAAAATTTCACATTGAAAGCTGATGTTTCAAATAAAACTAATACTACACTTGACGTTCTTACAAGATCACTAGTAGAAAGAAAACCTGAAGTAAAGCAACAGTACACAAATGAAAGTAAAAATAAAAATGTAACATTGAAAGCTGAAGTTTCAAATAAAACTAATACTACACTTGACGTTCTTACAAGATCACTACTAGAAAGAAAACCTGAAGTAAAGCAACAGTACACAAATGAAAGTAAAAATAAAAATGTTTCATTGAAAGCTGAAGTTCTCAATTGTGACAAATATTATTATAGACACCATTGTTACAATACAATATCAGGATATAAAAAGAATTTAGTTCCTACATATGAAACTAACATTTCAAATTCAATGTTGCAAGACAAAGTTTCCAAAGCAACAGAGTCACATCCATCTACTACGCAATATGTAGAAAGAAGACCTACTGTAAAAGAAAATAATTGGAATTCTAATGCATACCGCAATATTCAGAAAATGGATGACAATAGTAATGGCAATAATTACATGACAGAAAATGAATATTTCCATTATCAATATGACAATTACAATTACGATTATAGCAGCATTAGACATAATAATCCAAATCGCAAAGATAATTCTGAAGGAGGCTTTTTATCTTCAGTATTTCGTTGTGTATGCTTTCTTGGAAAGTGGTATTTAATTGGTTCTATAAGTTATGGAATTTTGTTATACTTTTCAAAGAAGAAATAATATATAGTTGGACCTCCATATATTGAATGAGTGTATATTGGAATACTCTATAAATCAAATTTCTCTTCTTTCCTTTTCCATATATATTTGAATAAATGTATATAAAACACCAAAGTGTCTTCTACATCCAATTCTCTGCTTCATCATGAAGGTAACACACTCCTGCTATCCCTCTCCATGGTACTTGTCAATTGAAGGAATGCATATGCCAAAGCAATATCAAGGTCATTGCATGCCCCTTCGTCTAATGACTCTTATCTTAGATGTTAGTTCGTTAGTTCACTGCTGTCTCAGTTTGCAATTATGCACTTAAGGAAAGTGATATGTCAAAACATAAATTCCTTTATATTGTAGAAAAATTGAATTTGTTCAAAGATGTGAACAATGGTATACAAGAGTGAACAGAATTTTGAACGGAGTATATCATGCATGAAACAAGACATAAGAAAATGTCTTTTTTTCAAACTTCAATTCAGAGATTTTCTCTGATACATAAGGAGAACTAATTTCTTGTTACTATTCTAAATATGTGGTATTAATGATTAAAACATTTGTGAATTTTTTATTGTTGAATATTTCATTTTACTTGATTTTTTCTAAAATTGTTTAAAAGCATTTGCAAAAATTTCATAATTATTTCTATATAACGAAGTTACTATATTTCAATTATCATCGAGAAACCATCAGGTTCAATACATGGAAGTCAACTGAATTAGTGTAATAGCATTTTTTCTTCTAAAATTGCATACATTTTTATTTCTGGGGCATTTTTAATTTGCATAGAAATGTAATTTGTATTACAGAATAACTTCTCTATTTATCTTTTAAAGTCAATACTGTTTAAAGGTGTGAACAAATAAAATTGCTTCAATGTAAGCAAAGTTAAATGAGCAAGAACTGAATAAATCACAAATTTGCAAATAGAGTGCAGTTCTCCAACCAAATAATTATTCCACAATCAACCACAAGACACTTGTTTCTCAATAGACAGCCATGATTTCATCAATGTCAGCAGCGCTGGCCACAACTTTGACTGTAAAGTAAAGCTTTGTAATATTTTTCACTCTCTTTTTTACATTTTGGACAACCACGATTAATCTATACTTCATCCAAATTTATTTCGTAATTTTATTCGATGTTTCAGAGACTGTTCTACTCCCTCATCAGGCTACAATTGAAAATGTATTTACAGTATTATTTCACAAATTCTGCTGCATAACTGTTTCTATACAATTATAGACAATACTGATCATCAATAAGAAAAATAATGTTTATTTTAAAAAAAAGTGATAGATAATTAATTAGTTAATATTTTTATTGAATAATTTTTTAAAAAAAGACTTAATATGCTTGTAACAAATAATATAGTTCAGCTTCGGGATCAATGACCTTCATCTCAATCAGATTTGAGTCCAGTTTTCCTGATACATTGAGCAAATGCTGATGGCCCCTTGTTTTGTTTCTGGACATAAATGTAGCTTCACTATGCGCACGTTTTGTTGAACTCTCCTTTTGCTTGTAGTGGTATAATAGTATGCTTGTAGTGGATAAGGGCGAGTTATTATTTTGTTAGCAATGCAGAAAATAAAACCTGCAGTTCATTTACCATTGCAAATACATTTTCTCTAACTCGGGAGCAAAAATGTATAGTTTTTCAAATGTCGCTAATCTTGTGCTTTTTTGAAATTTTATTATTATTTATTTATCTTTAACTTTTACTCATCTTTCAACTATTTATAGTTAAAATGATAGAAAGGAATTTTGGAACTCAAGAAAATGTGTACAGATTATCTTCTCCTCCATGCGTCACATACAGTTTTTGCTGTTTTTGGACCAAATAAATCTAATCTAATATAATCAAATGAAGAACTCAAAAAAGATACGTACTATACATACAAAAACATTTCTTTTTGATTAAGTATGTGGTGGAGTGTAGACTATTCATATGAGCATTGAATGAGTAATGAATGTGAGGGGAAAGTTGAACCCATTCTTTTTAAATATTAGGACCAATCATTTCAAAATTTCATCTTTCAACTCTCCCCTCCCTTATTAAGCTAAAGCTTTGTTCGTTGGTATGAAGATAAACAAAAGGTTTTAGAGTCATGGATTGATTTCATAATGAAATCTGTCAAATCTTGTGATAGTCACTCAAAAACTATCAGACTGTACAAAAAAGAATAAATTACTATTGTCAATATCTCATAACTCATATATTTTACAAACTTGATTTTTGGTTAATTATAGTTCTTTATTGACTAATAATTTACTATTGAAGTACCACTACTGCAATCTCTACAACACAGTGCAAACTGAGGTTGAATATCTGGTTTGTTATACAAACATGTCAACTTCTGTAGTAGTGGGATTTTGTAATAAAATGGGTGAAATTCATTGAAAGTAATATATCAGACTATTGGTTGACATTGGTACTAAGGTACCAGACAAGTGTGATAGTTAATAAAAGTTTGTGCTTTTGTTGGGTTGTGCTCACTGTGGCTAATTAGGAAGGAAAATATCAAGTCTCATTAAAGATGACATAAAAAACCGAACCCTAAGTGATGTGGCAAGTCATTCTGCTGTTGTAGAATTATTAGTTCACAAAAAAGATTTTTAAAAATTGTAAGAAACTTTACGAAAATTGGATTAAATGCCAAACTGACGAGACTGCTGCTGATCTGAACATTAATTTCATGATGTATATTCAATTGTCAGAAATTCTAACTCAGGATATTTTTTATTATTGTCAATTACCTGTTAATGTTTTTATAAAACAAATCTCAAGAACAGTTCTTCAATATTGTATGTACCAAAGGAATCAACATAACTTGCCATAAAGGCCCACATAAGGTTACATCATTCATTTATAAATATGCAAACTCTGGAATTGATGTGAAAATAAAAACCTTTCCTCTTCTGTGACAATTGTAGCTGTGAGAACAAGAACAACATTCTTTTAAGATTTTGCAATGCTTTGATTGAAAAGTTTGACGAGATCTCAAATTTTACTCTGTATGAGGCAATTCCTTTCTCCCCTGTGACAGGGCATTTAGTGCAGTAAAGAGAGCTTTTAGGAGAATGGATCAAATCTACACAATTAATCAACTGACAGAAATAATCCATCAAATAAATTTACTTTTCACATGGTACAAATATACGATGTGTTATTGAAATACTCATACGTACAAATACTATGTGTTATTCCAAATATTGATTCCCTTCATTCTACAAATTCAGTTGATGCGTCACATACCTGAAAAAATATTTTCTAAGCAAAGAAATTCTGTTTGTCTGCAAATGCTGTATATGAAAATAATGTTCCCATCAATGAAAAAATTTCAATGATCTGAAGAAAATGATGCATTATGCATTTAATGTGAATAAAATCATTTACACAAAAATTTTAGCATAGCCAATAATGGTTAAAGTAGTCACTAGAAGAAACATGATTGTATTTGCCTGATCCAAGGAAGAATTCAATAAAAAGAGGCATATATAAATATGAATTATATTCATAAATAAATATATAAATTTTGTTTTAAAAAACATTTTACTTTATTTTGTTTGTTTTTCAGTTGCCTGTAAGGGATAAAAATATTTTTTAATTAACAGTTATTGTAAAATCATCTCATGTGATAAGTAGTCCTACACTTTATTTCTTAATATTGGTCTTTTTCAATCAAAAATATTTTTTTAAAATTTTGCATCACCTTTTCAGTACATAACTCTCTCACATAAGAATATTCATTTATCTTGTAAAACTAAATCTCAAAAAAGTTTTTTGTATTTCATGTAAAATTTTAATTTTTGTACCGAAGGGGTTATTTTTTATAAGAATTGATTCAAATTCAAAAGTACTGTAATTCACAACTCTAGAAACATCATTATTGCATTTCAACATTCATTTTTAGAGTCGAAAATTCGAAATTCTGATTCTTCACCAATTGCATTTGGAGTCCCGCAGGGATTGATTTTAGGCCCCATTATCTTCCTACTATACGTAAACAATATGCCCTTGACGATTAGATCCGGAAGAACTCTTTGCAGATGATACGAACTTTCTTTGCAATAAAGAAATCGTAAATAGTAATTTTGCAGATATTTTAAATTGGTTCCGTAATAAGAAGTTCATAGTACATGAAAATAAAACTGTATCAATGCTGTTTTCCATTTCAAATAAACAGCTCAGCACTTCACTGAATATGAGTGGTGTGCCAGTGACTGATGTTAAGATAACAAAATGTTTAGGTCTTTCAATACAGCCAAACACGAAATGGAACGTCCATTTACATGAATTAAATACTAATTTAAGTTCTTCATTCTACGCTTTCAGAATTCTTTCAAATCCAGTCAGCCTCCACACTGTTCTTTATGTTTATTTTGGGACTGTTCATTCCCGCCTGAGATATGGCATAATATTCTGGGGAAATACATCTTATAGCTCCCAGACTTAGATTACAAAAACGAATTGTACAAATAAGAATTAGCAAATACCACCCACGTGATTCTTGTAAGACTCTTTATTAATCTAGGTATTTTACCATTACCTTGTCTTTTTATATATGAATCTGTGTTTTTGTCAAAAATGACTTACTTAAGGACGAGAATATATTTTCAGGAAATGCCGTTATCTATAACTACAACACTCAAAGCAGTAAGCATATACATCAGGTAACAGTAGCAACAGCTCACTACAAAAAATTCACATATTATACATGTACATTATTTTACAACACCTTGCCAGATAACATTAAACGATTAAACTCAATACAAAAGTGTAAGTCCCAAGTAAAATCTTTTCTGCTGCACAACTGTTTATATACAATTAGATACTATACCAAGTATCCATAAGGAAAGTAATATTAATTTTAGCGACGAGTGTATCTGTAGCGAGTCAATGATCTTGGTCGGGTTTTTGTCCAGTTTCCCTGATCCTTGAGCATATGCTGAAATGGCTTTTGTTTTACTTCTGGACATAAATGTAACTTCAAATTACCTTCTCCACATAGCACATCACTCACAGTTTTTAAGTAACTCTCTAAATAAGTAAGTAAGTAAGTAACTAACTAAATAAGTAAGTAGCTAACTAAGTAAATAACAAACTAACTAAG